GGGTTTAAATGCACCAAGGAGACAGTCAGAGAGAACTCGGGACAACTGGAGACATTTAGGGATGCAGGGACTGACAGAGACGGGGAAGACGTCTCATCGTGACGTTTATCTTGCCTGGCTGGGCAGCTCTCTGGGTGCTCAGCACCTCCAAAGCTCTGATCCTAGAATCTCCCCTGCCATGACGTCAGTGACGTAGTTAAACTACAAAAATGTATTTGCACAATGTCATTAGAAACATCCGGTCTAAAAGTGATGCTGATAAGATAAAGCATATACTTATTACTTTTAAGCTAAGTGATTGTAATTCATTAGGTCACTCTAAGCCCTGAATAGCCTTCAGTTGATGAAGGAAGCTACAGAGAGATTCCAAATTGAGAGACTTGAGAAATGGCGATCACAGCAGTGATTACAATGAAATGTTTCTCCCACTGAAAACCTCTTTGGGAATCATCTCTGTTGGAAGTCTGAAGAACATAACCAGAGCATTATTTAGTCAGATAACAAGATATTTTTTTTCAGAACAGACAGAGTGGAGTGACCCTGGGCAGACATGATAGTAATGTCTGGCCAGGGTGCAGAGATATGATATGAAGCTACATGAGTGCAAAGTTTGACACCGCTGACCTGAACAAGTATGTTGCCTGATTTGAATCCAACAGAACACCTGAGGGAAATTCTGAAGAGAAACGTGGGGAACAAAAAGTAAGACACAAAACAAAACCCTGCAGCAAGTGCAGATAAAAAACATGTTGTTTCAAAGATATTGCATGTTTTGTCAGAGCTAAAGAGGACTGATTCCTTCATTGACAAATACAGATGCATGTATTCATACCAGCACTGCCCTGCCCACCTGAAAAGTTCCATTTTCTCTGATGTGGAAATCTTACAGCCAAATTTCAAATCTGCCAATCAGATTTGACTGTTGGTTTGATCCCATAACTGACGGTGACTATATGTTAGAGGCTGAGAAACATTCTTATTAAACAATTTTAGAATAAGTTACATTTGGGAGCAAAAGCAGCAACAGCTAGATTTGTGATTTTTGTGTTTTGTTTCCTTAAAAACTAAATCTAGACAGTGAAAGAATGATTTAGTTACACTGACTTATAACTATCAATTATTAATTATGGAAGTGTGTGTGCAGGAATGATACGATTCAAAACCTCGTGTCTGTCAGAGAAACACCCAAAACCTCAAGAAAGCCGATAAATCTGAAGTTTATCCATGACTGCGGACATTTTTCACTTTTTTCACTGCTCTCAGGTCAGTGATGAGATTTAGGTGAAAGTTCGACACTTTGGTATCTGGAGGGATGTTTGCATGCTTTCCATATTTTCTGTCAATTGCGGATTTGTATTTATTCGTGTAAATGCTTTTGCAGTAAATCTTTATTAAGAGAAACGCGGGTGGAGTGAGTGCGTTTCTCAGGTGTTCAGAGTGAAGAAAGCAGGTCACAGTGCGCTGACGTTTACGTCATTCCACGACTGGTCCGACCGGTCGAGGAGCGACTCGCTGGCACGTCTCAGATGAAACTCATCCGACAGGCGTGTGCATAAAGACAGATCCCGAGCTCAGCAGCAGGCACGAAGTTCTCAGCCGACATCCACCATGTTTCACCTCTTGCTTGTGGCCGTTGTACTTCTGGGAGCATACATCCTCCTCACACGGACTCTCTTCAAAAGAGCCAAATGCAAAGGAAACGCCGCGATGTCGGGGAAGACCGTCATTATCACAGGTGAGACCGGAATCAAGCGCAGCGTGTATCAAACAGACCGACTGCTAATGACACAGCATCAAAAATGACGAAGTGTGGAAAGTGTGTCTACAAACAGCTGGGTGGCTGCTGTGTGTGCAGAGTTCAGCGAATTTTCCTTTAATAGGTTTCTTTACTTCCTCTTAGAGGCGATAAGGATGTTGGTGTTTGATTATGATAGGGACGGTGAGCAAAGGTGCATAACACGTTTTATTAAATCTGCAGGGAAAGAAAAGAAGCCGTTAAATGTATGTTTCCTATAATTATCTTCAATATTACCACAAAAAAGAGGCTCTGTTTACGACGGACTTTCGACGATACCGACCTACATGTCGATCGGCTTTCAGGAAAAACCTCATCAAAAAATAAGAACAGTAAATATGACATTTAAGCCGATTCAGCAGTTATTTCTAAATTCAAGTAAGAATCAGTTTAACATTTGCATCTCTAAACTGGTTTGTACAGAGAGGGGATTCTCAGCTAAACCTGAGCCCCCCTTCTCTCTCCTCCCTCTGAGGTCGGGCGGTTATGCCACAAATCTATGATAACAAAATCGTGATTTGCACAAATGTGATTGCTGTAATGAAATAATTAAAGATGCGTTTTTCTTTGTTTTTGTGCTTTTTACTTTGGATGGGAGTGAAGTTTACAGCGCAACAAAGGTGGAAGTGAAAATCTAGAATTCTTGTTTGCAATTCAGAAAGGTTTCTACTAACCTTCAGATAACACCACATCAAACATTTGAATGGATGATAGTTCTTGTTTGTGATGGTTTGGGTAGATGTTGCTTATTCTTTTCCTGCTCTTACTGCAGGAGGAAATACGGGCATTGGTAAAGCCACGGCGTTGCATCTGGCCAGGAAAGGAGCCAGAGTGGTCCTGGCCTGCCGAAACAGGAACAAAGCTGCAGCTGCCATTGCAGAAATAGAAACGGTAAGAAGAACACACTGATGCATTGGCCACAATTTCCTCATGCTGTATGAAAGTTAATCCAAAGTGTCTCAGAAAGGAGCAGCGACATTTAAAACAATAGCTTGTGCAGTCGTCAGCAGGGAGTGGAGGCTTGTTACATAAGGTCCTGTCATACTGTAACTGATGTGTGCTTTAGGTAATTAAAGCAGCTGAGAAAAAGAGTACAAGCTAAAGTAGTACGTGGATATGACTGTTTATTTATATTTATTCAGTAAGTACAATATGACAATTTTAAAGGACTGAACTTTTTTTAATGGAAGCTAAAATCTGAATTGAAATGTAAGCTGTGAAAGGAGTTAAGCTTTAAAGGAGGAGCTGACAGAAAGCACAAAATGATGCACACAGAACAGGATTTGCATGATCCTGCTGAAAGGAGCTGAAGCGTTCGCTTCTTTCATTGATGGTAATGTTTGAGCTGTCACTTTAAGGAAAAACAGTAAAAAGGGATTGAAGTGAAACACTGAAGCGTACGTTAAATGTAACCTTCACTGACTCACAATGATCTTCCTCCAGCAAACGGGAAGTACAGACGTGATCTACGTGCACTTGGACCTAGCCAGTCTGAAGTCTGTCCGCAGCTTCGCCGAAACCTTCCTGAAAACTGAGCCCAGGCTGGATTTGCTCATCAACAATGCTGGTACACACACTACTACACAACACCACAATGTCTGCTAAGTTGCAAGTACGAGGTCCATACATCCATTTTCATCTAAACCAACCTGAGAGCCAGACACCATTAGGAGGAAATTTATTTGTTGAACTTCTCCACTTGGGGTATCAACTAATGATCAAGTCAGAGTGAACATTCCCGATTTTCCACCTGAGAACTGACTTGCTCCTATTTGTGTTTTCATCACAGCTGTGTGCTGGAGGTTGTTGCTTTATAAAGTTCACAAAACCAGGTCATTTGTTTAAAAGAAAAAAGATTTGAGAGTCTGAAATCAACAAAACCTTAACTTTCCACTCAGAGAGGGCCTGGAAATTCTGCCCAAAAAGTATGAACAGGATGGGTGACAAAGCTCTGGAGTCTGAAACTCACCATCAAACGACAACAAAGACACAGAATTGACCAGAAGCACAAAATAATCACAAGAGACCGAATAGCCACAAAGACGTCAAACGACTATGTTGTGCAAAGCAGCCGATTGGCCTAAAACACAAATTGATGTAAACCGCGTGAGAGAGCGACCAGGTTATCACAGTTGCCATATCTGATAAAAAGACATGCAAACACAGTTTTTAATGATGCAGCAGTGGTGATTTGTCTGTTCTATGACAGAGAAGAATCTAGAGAAAAGAAAAGATTTCAGAAACCATTGTTCAAATATGTCCCCAGGATTGGTGGCAGACGGGCGGACTGAGGACGGCTATGGCATCGAGTTTGGGGTGAACCACTTGGGTCACTTCCTGTTGACCAATCTGCTGTTGGAGAGGATGAAGAAGACAGGGGGAGGCCGAGTGATCACGCTGTCCTCCATGGCTCATCGCTGGGGACACATTGACTTTAACGTGAGTTTACAATAATTAAAGAGAGGTTGGAGAGCCATCCTCACTCTGGAACAAGCCTTTTTCCGTCTTTTGGGACTCTTATTTTTAAAAATGCTCTGCTCTATTATTTCAGTAGTATGACTGAAGAGGTGATCGTAATAACATCACAAATGATGTTGTTGCTCGTCTTTCACCTTCACGCCTATTGACAAGGTTGTTTTTGTATCTCCAGGCTCTGGTTGCAAACAAAGACCTGGGAACTGGCAGGTACAGCTGGCAATTCTTCCACGCGTACTGCAACAGCAAACTGTGCAATGTGCTTTTCACCCATGAGCTTGCCAAGAGGCTGAAAGGAACCGATGTCACATGCTACAGTGTCCACCCAGGTAACACACTGGTTTACCTAATCAACACTCATTTTAAGCTATATATTACTGTAAGCTAAATCAACTGTTACTATCAGCATTTTATCCAAATTGAACACTAAAGCAGCAAGTATGTGCTTGCTCTTTGCCTTCTGCCCTGTAGGTGTTGTCCGGACTGAACTGTCCAGAAATGTCAGCCTGTGGCAGAAGATTTTCATCCAGCCTGTGGCCTGGCTGCTGTTCCTGGACCCAGAGGCAGGAGCTCAGACCACACTGCACTGTGCCCTGCAGGAAGGAATCGAACCTCTGAGCGGGAAGTACTTCTCCTGCTGCGAGGCACAGGAAGTGTCCGCTCATGCCCGAGATGACAAGGTGGCCCTGAAATTGTGGGAGGTCAGCGAGAAACTCTGTGGACTGGCATAGATTTATTCACCTCGCAATAAACAGGTTGTTGAGTCCATGAGCGATGAGCTGTCATTCTGTCCTTTCTAACAGTATCGGTGGTACAGTGCTATATGAACATCTGGAATTACTGTACAGCACTTCTTTTTCTTTTTTCTGAAATTTAAACATCATTGCTGGTGTTGAATTTAGTTGGTGTTGTTGCAGTGCCATCAGCAGGATAGAAGCTGGGAATATTTATGCTGCTGCATATTTGGTATGTTACTCTTCTGTCACCTGTTTGTGAGACAATGACACGTTTTAATAGTTTCGTCATTTTTTTTAAAAAATAATTTGTTATTTTGTATTTTTATGTAAATATTGTTGAGTTCTTTGTACATTGTGTTTATACTGAGATCCTTACTGAAGTTTGCCTTAATAAAACATGTCGACTAGAATCTGTCCTCTTGGAATACACACCAACCCTCCCGATTTTTCTGGGAGAGTCACGAATTTCAGTGCCCCTCCCGAAAATCTCCCGATTTCCACGCGGACAACAAAATTGAAAAACCATATCCCAGAATTCAAAGCGCTGCCCAGCAAGTTCCAGTTTCCAACAATGGCGGCAGCTATTTAGTTTTAATATTACTCTTATTATTCTTTCTGGGTCACAAAATAAACTTTTAACATATTTTCAGGCATAAATGTAGCTGTGTAAACCTCAAATATCTGCGCCGACGAGAACAGCAAACCCCCGCGGTTATTCGCTACTCAGGTTAAACAGGATAAGTCACTCAGATAACTTAAAAATGTTATTGTTTGGCTTTTTCAGTGTTTTATTTGTTCGTGAGTGAATCTGTTTGGCTGAGATGACTGGATTAAATAAAACTTTATTAAGCCCTCAGGAGGAATAAACGTCAAACAGAAAACTGATTAAACAGAAGTGTGCAATGGTCGAGAGTTTACGCCAGCGTCCGGGTATACTTTAGATAGCAAGGAGCAGACGGCAGTTTCACTCCACCGAGAGAGCTCGTGAAGTAATTCTGACAATTTCATAGTCGTTCACTTTCAGCCTACCCGGCTTTCAGAGGACCCGCCCACTTAGACCGCGAAGGCCTCAGGTGGACGCAGTCTCTGAGTTTGGAGACCCCCGCTGTTTCCAGACGGACAATAATAACGGAGACATTTAACTTATTTTATCTGTTAAATAAACATTGTAAAATTCAAGTTTCTTGTATATATAAAAAACATCATTTTGACTGTTTCCCTGATTCTGAGTTCTCAAGGTTGGCAAGTGTGCCTCTTTTTTTTCTCTTTTCATGGGACCAGAGGTTTTTTCCTTTACAGAATGTAAGTCTGGCTGTGACATTTTATTCATTTTATTCATTTGTGGCTTAGAGTGGTCACATGTAAATCTCCTTAATATACACAGTAGATCGTGTACAAGCTTAAAGTGTGTTATTATACCAGTAACTTGGTGTTGATGGGTGGTGTATTTTTTAGAAAAGATTATTGACCTCGTCCACACATTTGATCTTGTGTTGATGTCATTGTTAGTGTTGGGGTTTTTTGGGGGGGGGGCTTCAGGCCCAAAAACCTGTCACATGAGCATCTGTGATCTCAGGTGTTCAGGTGCTAGCTGCTTTTAAGACATGGACGCACAGAGGACTCTCCTATCTGGCCGGCTCAGTCTGAGCGTGGGTGTCTCTGCAGCTCTGCCTCACATGTGTGTGTCTGTGATTACTGAGCGGCTCGAGGAATGTTTCTGGTGTTTAGCAGCAGAACTGGTTCTTTTGTTTCAGGAAGGCTTTGTGTCCGTGTGGCATGATAAACTGCGTCACACACCTGCACCTTACACTTACACATGTTGTATGCAGAGGACCTCACCTGCACTGTGACCTGAGCTGTCACCTCCTTACTGATGTTGCTCCTGCGAGTATTTGCCTTTGTCGCTCTTTTGATGTTTCAGGCCCCAGAGGGAAACAGACTCTCATCATTCCTTCTTCCAAAAGTTCAGTTCAGCGCTGTTACAAGCTGGTGATGTCCTCCAGTAGAGAAACAAGAAGTAGTGCAGAGAGAGTTTGTTGAATCATGTCTCATTACACACTCCAGGCTTCTCCTTGGGCAGCATTATGCACTCGATGGATATTTTAATAATAAGCCCTGCTTCTTCCCAGCTTGAGCCCCTTCTTCCTTCTTCATTTATCGTGGCATAGATTCAACCATGTGTTGCAAAGGTTTGGGTCTATACTGACATGTTGCCCCTTCCCACTGTAGCCCAAAGGTGCTCTACTGGTGACTGTGGAAGCAGTTTAAGTGGCGTGGCAGTGAGTTCACTCTATTCAAACAGAGTGAACTCACTGCCACGTAACCCGTTTGACAGGTCTGATCTTTGTAATATGTGTTTCTGCTGGAGGCAGCTGTCAGACAGCAGGTACTCTGTAGTGATAAACAGGTGGACGTGGTCAGCACCAACATTCACACCATGCTCAGTAAAAAGGAGCAAAGCCTCTGCTTCCCTGTTTAAAAGTTCTACTTTTACTAGTTGCTATTTAGTGTTTCTTCACATTTTAATGGCATAAAAGTTCAAGCTTTTGGCTCAGTAACAGGTCGAGGCCAAAGCTAAATTTTGTTTTAGACAAAAGTCCTGAAATCTGTTATGATCGTTCTTCACAGTGTCGTGGAAACATGTAGAATAATCTAAATAAAAGCTGAAGTGACAGAGTGTGCACAGCCGTTGTCACAACAACACTAGTGCTCACAAATCCAGACTCACAAATGTGAAAACACAGCAGGTGTTTGCAGCTCTGCGTCTGTGATTGCTGAGCAGCTCTGGGAACACTTTGGTGTTGAACTGGTTCTTTGTTCCAGGATTCCTTTCCATCGATGTGGCGTGATCTCAGATCAGCTGAGTCACAGTCGCTCATACTGCAGAGAACATTCTTCACCTGCACTGTAATCTGGGTCGTCACCTGTACAATAGATGCTGCAGCACCTGAGTAATGTTCACTTGACCCTTTTATTAGGACTTGGTGTCCACCTGCTTCCTACTCTCACTGCATATCACAGTGTTGTCTCCATAGAGACTACTGCCTTCATTTCTCAAACTTACAACCCCTGTAACTACCAGTCCAGTTAGATCCACAAAGACACCGGGCAACTCCTTCTGACCTTCTTAATACTTCAATATTCAGAGAAAACGTCTGTGCTGCTCTTTCTTGGGATGAAGCCATGCTGCTGCTCACTGATCGTCACTTCTCTTCTTAACCAGTTTGATCACTTCTTCATGTCCTTCATGTTTCTATACCACTCCAAGATCACATACAACATCTAGGTAAAACGTTCACCTCCCTCTGTGTCCTTGTGATTCTCTGCATTACCAGAGTCATCAGTGCCTTTCATCTCTCTCACTTTCTTCATTCATCACTTTCTCAAAACATCCTCTCAGCACACTGTGTCTCCAAACTGTTCTTTTTCTCCTTCCAAAACACTGGTTCGTTTATACTCTAGCACTATTGTACCTG